GTTAATAGTACTAGCAGTGCTACTAGAATGAAAGATGCTGATTATAGTTCCTGAGGGAGTAGACCACTTTTGACATTGGGAATCTCGATGTGCATAGGTAACGGTGTTTGTTGTGCAAAAGCATATCTCCTAGCCACTTGTGCAGTGGTTATGTGGTAGAGGAGGTTCCCAAGTTAGTTAGTTCTCTCTTATGAAGGACAAAAATACTTAAGTGTATTTAAAAAATAATTAAGAACATCTAATGGAGTGAGAAAATAACATTTTGCTCCCTGGCTTGGTATGCATGTTGCCCCTGGAATGAACAAACAATAAATAACAGGAAAGCTGAGTGTGCACAGCACTGAGGTGGATTTCTTGTTTATGTATTACTGCTTACTCAAATGTTGTTCAAAGTATTGCTGGCTTGGACTAAGGGTGATGGTTTGGAGTGACTGTCTCTAAGGCACTTGAGATTGGTAACTCAAAGGACAACGAAGGTGCTGCTTTACTGAGCACTGAGCTTATTTTAGCTAACAATTCACAGCCTATGAATATAAAAAGAGATCTCAATAGAAAATGTAGTAACTCCATCTTCTGTATAATCTATTATATGACTATAGTAAGTAATCTGTTTTAGTGCTAATTTTAAGTATTAGTAGGACTGCAGAGTGTGAAGGAGTCTGTGTACTTACTCCATGGAGCAGTCCTTCTTACACAGGACCTTCACGCAGTGAGAATCGGTATCATACAAGTTTATTAGAGATCTTACATAAACCTTTTAAAAAATGTTAATAGTACTTTGAGTGTAAAAAGAAGGATTGTCTCACATCCAAAATCCATCTTCTGGCAAAAATTAGGTTAGGGAGAAATGCTTGAGAAAGCATTTAGTATTCTACCTAACTTTATAGTGCTACACACTGATCATGTATTTCTAACTGGTTTCAATTATAATTTTCTTTCCTAAATCACAGTACTTCGCTTAAAATAATTTTCTTTGTTGTAGTATAGTATCTAGCTGAGTTAAATGTCAATGCAATTTTTAGTGGTTTGATTGCTTCTTAAAGGTAGCCGTAATACTTTCCTCTGCATCCTTAATCATGCCAGAAGACGGGGTTGATGACAATGTGGCTTACTCATTGCATCACCTGATGACAGGACACCTGATATGTCAGGTAAATAACTCCACAGTCCCCCTTCCATACAAAGTGTGCGGTCTAAATGTGATAGAGCAGTGGAGCAAGTCATGGAGGTCTTGGGAGTGGTCTGTAGACTTTTAGACTAGTAGGTAAATATTTAAACCATGAGAACTAAGTGTGGGGTGAAGGGTGGGTGCAGACATGGGACTGTGACAGCTTCTGACAGGTCTGATCCAGTTGGAATAGTTTGTGTAAGTAAGGTGCTAAGGTAAGCCTTCATCGCTGCTGACTGAGCAGCCATCGGGAGAGGCCAGGAAGAGTCCTCAAGCCTTTCCTGATATCCACTGGGATAGGAAATCTTGCTATAGGTCTTTTCCTTTATTACATATAATGTCTCTTGTTTCTGTGCTCTGTCATTTCTGCCTTTACTCTGTGCATCTCGGTAAAGGTTGCAATAATTTTTGTTTACAAAAGAATTATTTACTTGAGTGATGGCAGGGAGAGATTAGGGCTTGGCAAAAAGTTGAAATTCATGTCAGCAATAGAGATATAAAGGGGAAGTATCTGTTGTTTATTTACTTCTGTTATCTAAAAAAATATCTTACCCTGTGCAACATTTATTTCTTGTCCAATATTAGAAGTTTCTGTGAAAGAAAAATGTGGTGAACGTTGTGGGAGATGTGCAATAATTACAACACCCGCTTTTCCTATTACTGTTTTTTAACTGTTAAAGCTGCAAATTGAAGAATAAAGTCGTTCCTTTATTAATCTTCCCCTTTTTACCCTTGCTGAAAGAGCATAGTTTTGCTGCGTGAAGTTGCTATTTATTGTGTGCAGTCATGCAGAGTGTTGTTGTATTCTTGTCATTCTTGCCTATACTGTTCTACTTAATAGATAGTGATTTAGCAGTCAGTTGTTCAGCTGTGTTAAATTAACCCTAGAGATAAAATTGGATAATACCCATAGCTGACATTTTTTTTTAACTTTGGAAGGGGAAGGAAAATCACTCCATGCATTAGTAATAACTGGTTGAAATTCTCTCGTAAACAGGAAGCGCATCTTTACTTCGACTTTATCCAAAATTGTGTCATGGTTTAAAAATCATTTTTCAGTTCTCTTTATCTAGTCATCTACTAGGAAAATTGTTTACTACATTGGAAGAGTTACATTTTGCTTAAGAAAGACGTTAGAATGCCTGGTTTCACTGTGTGTTGTAATGTTGGTGGTCAGAGCACTGTCCTTATCTGGAGTGAATTACTTTTTTCTTTCATATCCGTATGTGGAAGAGTATTTCCTCACTGCTTTGTATCAGATGTGTTTATTTTTTGATAATCTTTATTTTTGACATTTCCATTAAGTAGGCAATTTTACTTTGAAATAAATGGGTTGTTAATTTATAAAAGAAATACAGTGGATTTGAAAAAATATGTAAGAATTGGTAGAAATATTTTATAGTAAAGCATTATTGCTCTACATCAAATCTTTAATTAAGATACTAAAATGTTACATTTTTGTCCAGAAGCAATTATTGTAATAGACCTCTTTCTGAGCTTGCATGTAATCTTTTTAATGATGGAGGATTAATATGGCCTGTAAGGTACAGCAGCTACTGAGCCTTTTACCCACTGCTATGGATAAATTATGTATGTGTTTTTTGAAAGGGAGATCTCTTGTCCTTAAATACACATCTAGAAAGAGTACATATGGCACTTTTGGCCACATACCACAAAGTAAAATATCTACCCCCTTTACATAAGGCAAAATACAGGGTTTTACACTGCACAGCAGATGTGTCTAAAGAAATTTGGAGTCCTTGTGTGCCCATTGCTTGGGAGGATCATGGTACCCACTCTCCTGTTTCATACCTCGGTGTTCTAGGGCAGAGGTGCTCGGGTAAGCCAGTGAGCTCATCGCACCATGTGTTGTGAAAGGCCGAGGAGGACTCTCTTGTGCTGCAAGAGCAAAGCATAGGTTTGGGTTCAACAGAACAAGGTGAAAAAATGTGGCCGAGTAGTGTACCAAGGGGAGGGCTTGTGTGCTGCTGGTGGGGCTACTGTTGCTTGCTCCTCTCAAGGAAATCTGCTAAGAGATACTTATACTCTGCATCAACTGTTTCTGAGTGTCCCTCAAGGATTTAACCCTTGGGGAGACTGGATTATGTGCTGAATGAAGATCACAAGTCCGTAACTAATTCTCAGCAGACTGCACTCAATTGGTAAACTTGGAAGTCAGAAATAATGTGGATTATGAAGGGATTTCCAAGCAAATTGTTTTCCGGGCTGCCTTGCTTCAGGTTTCCTCCAGCACTCACATGCAGTCCACTCAAAAAAGTTTTCTGACTGGAGCCATAACTTGGCTTCAGATTACTTAACCTCCCTCAAAATATCTTGGACTGTTGTCACAGAAATCCTGAGATTTGTATCATATGAATAGACTGTAGGGTAGTCTGGAGCTTCTTTATGGTAATGTGATTATCCCAAAGTTTTATATTCTCTCCTGATCACTTATTTTGATAATAATAACCTTTCCTGAAAGTGGGATTTTATGAATTGTATTTTATTTTTGTGGAAAGAAGTTTCTTCAACCAGCAAATTTATTTATTTATGTTTTCCCATAAACATACATGCATTTTCTTTCTTCTCTGAAAATTTGCTATACTGTACTTGGCTACAGTGCGAGATGCATCAGATGTACAAGTTGATTTCTAATACATAAATAAATAAAAATTCATCATAAAATTTGTCTGACAGGAAAAAAAATGAATTGAATGGAGCCATTATTAGAAAGAGAGAATGATGAAGGTGACTTTGGTTGCTATTTTGGCTACTACACCTGGGATAGTCCCTTTCAGTATTGTGCAGGATCCCAGTGTAATTCCAAGCAAATAGGCCTTGAACATCCACATATTGAAATCACTAAATAGGTTTCTATATTTAAGTTGGAACAGTATTGCTTCTAATTAAAAACTCTCTTACTAGAGCACTCAGTGCTCAAAAAGTCAGGTTAATGTAACCTGAGCTGAGCTGGCAGTTGAAGGAGAGCAAAATCCTCTTTGTTCTAGCTTTGAAACTATTACTCCGGACATTAAAGTTCCCGATGTTGACTTGTTTGCCATTCTTGTGGGAGTGTGTTAAGCAATTGGCGTCTTTCTGCTTCTTGTTTTAAAGATGAAAGCTGAAACTCTTTAAATGCGAAAGATCAGTTAAGTCTCAGTTATCTGTAGGTTTATATTCCAATTTTTGGTTTAATTGTGGCATTGATACCATCTGGGTATAAGCCGTTTGAGTCCATAAAGACTGTGGTGCTGCAAAAATAGCATTTTTGTTTTTTTGGGGGGGGAGCGCGTGGGGTGGTGCTTTGGCCTCCGATTGTCCGTGCAGCCCGTTAGCGGCACAGCAGGTACACGGCGATCCGGCCCGGGTTCCCGCCTCACGCCGAGCCGCCGTTAATCACCCTGACGGGGAGCAGAGGCGGCGTGTCGGCGGCCTGCCGCCCCGGGAGGAGGTGTCGCGCGGGGCCGGGAGCTGCCTGCCAGCCAGCCTGGCATCCACCAGCGTGCCGGGCCGGCGGCCCCATCCCCGACGCCATCTCCTGCGCGGAGCAGGCCCGGCCGCGCTGATGCCTCTGCCGTGGTGCTGGACATGCCAGGCGCCGGTGGCCCGGGGCACCGTCACTGTGGGATCCCCCTGCGCCAGCTCTGCCGGGCCTGTGTGTAATGGGAAACGGGTTGTGCTGCTTCGGTCCTTTGAGGTCACGCTAAAAAAGCTGGGATGCCTCATTGTGCTGAGGTGGCTTGTACCGTACGCTCAGTAACAGTATTATCGAAATTAATTCAGTGGGAACGGCGGTGCGTTTTCCAACACTTTGTTTCTTCTTAATTTCCAGGTGTTCCGAAAGAAGGCAGTAGAGCTTGGAGAGAAATTGCTACCTGCTTTCAACACTCCCACTGGGATACCTTGGGCATTACTTAATATTAAGAGGTAAAACATATTCTTTTTTGATGACTGGAGCATATAAGAAAGTTACGTTGAAACTGCCTTCACCACAGAACTATTACAGTTGCTGCACAGTTCTTGTCTTTCCAGCTAGGTAAAAGTTGATGCGAGATCCTTGGTTCTACAGTTTACATTAGGAAATTTAAGTAGATATACATTGCACATACAAGAATGCATACAGAAATACATTTATTCACCTCAGAATAAAGTCAATGAGGCAGCTTTTTCATCGCTTAGTATGTTGCTTATCACTTTTCCTGTAGTCCTCTATTGCTTTTAGTGTTGTTACAAGTAGGGTAAGAGCAGAAGGACATGCACCGCTCTGAAAAGATAGGGTTTCCAGCCACTTTGTACTCTATTTTCACGGGTTCTCAAATGTGGTATGAGCATGTCCTTCAGTAGCATATCAAGAAACAGGAGTAATATTTGCTACAAGTGAATCGTCGTTTTGCAGCCCCTCCCAAAACACAGAGTGTTTGCTGTAGGAGATGCATGTTCTTCTGAAGTCACTCTGGCCTCTAGTATCTGACTCCAGACAGACGTCAGCAATTCCTTGGTTTGGCCCCCAGGCCTGCTAGCAGTGATACTGTGCTGGTAAAGAAAATGTTTTCTTTGCACTTCCTGGGGAAGAATATTGAAAGTTACACCTGTGGGTTATATTTGTGTATTTGTCAGGACACATCAGCTTTCTTCGTACCGTGGATAAACCCTGGTAGCACCTGTCACAAGAAAGTAAATCCATGAGCATTTCGTATGTGCTTGTGTTGGTGTTGTGGGTTTTTTGCATGATTTCCTTCCTGACACTCAGCATCTTCCACTGTTCCCACCTTGATCTGTATTTATGGGTATACATTCTCCCCAGAGTGGGACACACACTGCTTGGTTGGCTTTGTTTGCTTCAGGTTTCCCAGTAAACTGCTGAGAGCCAGTCCTAGAGAAACCCTTGGTATGTCAGTTCAGATGGACTTACGTCCTCCCACCTTCCTTTCAAACAGAAGTGGGGCAGGAGGCGCAAAGCATGTCTGTGTGCAGGAGCAAGAGGGAGCTAGTGCCTCCTGAACTTTCTCATTGCTGAAGAGGCTGATTAATTGCTGTCCCGTGATGATCCTCAGATTTTGACTGGCTACTTACATGCATGCTAACGATTTCTTCTCAATGGACTTTAATGAGTTCTGCACAAGTTCAATAGCACAACAGCTTGAGGTTTGTCAGTTACTTGTTTTTAAGCTCTTACAAAAACTTCTGAGTAGGAAACCCTTATTCTAGGTAGTATATATAAACGTATTTAAAGTATTTAGGCTAAAAATTTGTCTTGTATGTAGCGTTTATTGAAATCCCTGCTTATCTACTGAATATATCAATGGTTTTTGCAAATAGTTCAAATTCAGTGGTAGGTCTTTATGGTTTTGTTTCTAGCTTCTCACAACAACTGCTGTAGTGTACTACAAATGTCAGCCACAGGCACTACGAGATGGTAATATAAAAGGGATTCATTTCCTATCTGGCACCAAAGTGGAAATGGATCTCTGCCGAGATAACTTACTTTGCTATGGCAGAAAAAGTAATGTTAAATGCTGGGTTCTTGCACTTCTGTCTAGATTTAACCTTCAATAGATGATTCTTCCAGAATACTGTGCGTAAACAAATACACTGTCATCCAGGCTTAGGAAACACTAAGCCACTGAAGCCATCATATATTACATATCTAATATTCCTTATTTCTGATTAGTATTTTATTTGATTTTATTTTAATTTATGCTTCAAATTGGAGAACACTCACAGTAGATTGTGGGTGTCGGTGGTTATTTTTGGATTAACAGATGAGCTGGATATGTGTTTCACTATGCAAATGTTCCTCACAAAATAGTTTGTTCTCTCTGCTCGTCCAGTATCATCATAGCCAGACTTGCTCTCTCCTTGTGTGTCTGTGTGTGAATATATACGTGCTTTTGTCTGAATGTGTCCTTACATACCAACGGCATCTATCTGGAGCCTTGTCTTGTCTTAACCCATTGCTATTCTTCATCCGGCTTCTTTCCTCACAGCTTAATGAACATGGGACACTTACTGTCTTACTTGTGGAACACTAATTATCAAATATATTTCAAAGTTCACCGTACTATTCTTCAGCTAACAGTGTTAGCCAATTCTTGAGTGTGTGTGTTTGTAAAAGTTCCTTTTATCTCTGCAGTACATTTTAAGTAACTAGATAGGTAGTTTGTACTGGGATTTCCTTTTCTTTCTAAATATTTCAGTTGTATTTCCATATTTCTGTTCTTGATACTGCTCTGTATCTTCAGTTCATCTTCAGCGTCTGTTTTCCACTTCTGCTTATACTGCCACATTTGAAGTTCCTTTTATATCTCACTTGCATATTTGAGTAACTGGTGTTGTATAACACTTGTTGACTATTCTGGCTGACAACAGTGCTACAAAGAGAGGCTGAACAGGGGGAATGTGTATAAAGTGGTGGTGGCTTGACAGATCCATTTGAGACTTCTTTTGGAGATATACGGCACAAGTTGGAAAAGCCACTTTTATTTATTTATTTATTTTCCTCCCTCACCCAAATACTTTGTTTAGATATTTCATCTTCAGTGCTTCCAAAACACCATCTATAACAGTTTCTTAAAATACCACTAATTCATGATAGTTTGTTTTTCTTCTCAGTGAGCTGTGACAATCTGGCTTCTTCATGCTAAAATTTTCATTTCCTTTTCTCTCTAAATCCTTCAAGTAATTTATGATTGAGCAATCAGATTGCTTGTATATTTCCGTAATATACCTCTGATTTATTGAAGTAAAAAGAATAAGAAATGATAACTCTCTTAGTGACTTAAGTAATCTTAACAAATACGCAGCTTGCATCATGTTTGCAGAATCAAGTAACCTTTTTAATGTATCTATTTATTTTTACCCCTTTAACTATTAAATGGGAAGCTGTATAGGGCCTGTGTTTACGGAATGATGCCCAGGTGTGAAATACAGAGAAGAACTCAGATTGCTGTAAATCTGAAATAAGTCAGGAATAAACTTCTGAGCATAAAATCCTGCACAATATTTTTTCTATTCTGGATGCAAATAGGCTCTGTCACTTTTTCCCACTTTGAAAACAGACCCGTATCTTTATTTAGTCACGATCAATGCCAATAAGACATCATTACTACTTTCTAATACGCAACCCAGAAGCATTCTTATATGAAAGAATATATTTTCCATTAAATATTTGGTATCTATATATTAACCAGTTGAATAGCTGTTTTAAGGTTATTTATTATCCCTTGTGTGCTGTGATGTAACAATACTGTTAGGCATTAAGGTGCCTGGCTTTTTATGAAGAATCAATGTATCATATAACTTTAAGTGCATCTGAAACTTTGGAAAATAGTTCTGCCTTACCTTAATGAAAAAGTTTTTGACTGGGGTAAATAATATTTTTATTTCTGGAAACAGAACAAACTGGAAATGGGTTTTTTGGATGCCCAGCCTGTTTGCAAATGTTGTGGCTAGCAGGGATACTGTGCCCATTCCACTGGCTCAATGACAAAAGTAAATTATGTAAGCATTTATGGATATAGGGACCATGGGTAGTTCTGTATAGAAGGAAAAGCTGTGAGTTACAGGTGGAGTGGGTCAGAGCAGGGAAGCTTAATAGAAGTCAAAAAGGAGGAGGTTGAAATTCGATTCATTTGTATGAAAATCAAACCAGAGAGAGCGGTAAGGTTTACCTGACATAAATGTAAAATGTTTACTGTGCCTGATACCAGCTCAAGATTCTTCGCCTTTTACACTTTAACATTGATTGTACATTAACAGTGGACCTGAGTTGAATTCAATCCTATGTATTTTACGAAGTGAGATAGCAGAGTCCTTGCTAAAGTGTTTGAACAAAGTAGTTACTCATTTGTAGGTAATTGAGGGTGGAAGTGACAAAACTGCAATATCTGTTATTGGGATGTTGCCAGCATGGTTTTAAAGGAAGGTCCTCTTTTGACTTTTTTTAAAAAATTTTTATTTATTTTTAAATTAGTACATTTGGTACGGAACATTTAAGTTATGCCACAGGCCTTTCCAGTCCTCAAAGTATTCAATCTGTGAACAAAAGTTTCTTAGAGCTACTGAGCCCTTGGAGCCACTGCATAGATTCAGAACATGAAGATACACCCACAGCACAGCTTCAAAACCCCATCTTTTTTCTCTCACATTACTTGAAAAAAAAAAGAAAATAACAAGGAGAAATACGCCCATAGTTTTTTATTTTGAATGCTTTAAGTTTTACCATGAACTAAGTTTCCTGTTCCGTGACAGCAGTACCAGGCAGAATGGGTCTCCCCCACTAGTCTGGCTTGCCCAACCGAGCCTGGCTGCTTGGGAGAGGGATTTTATGCTAAAATGCCAGAGTGTCTGCCAGGGTGACACAGGCACAGGTGGTGTTCTCTTTTGGAGCACACGCCCTGGTATTTCAGAGTACTGGCAGTATTTTAGGTTGCAGGCATTTAAAGGAGCTTATCTCTCAGCACCTTCTGCCTGGGAGGAAATGTGGCCGATAAACCAACCACCGAGGTGTGAAATGTTGGTCTTTAGACAACAGAAGTTGGTTGAAAATATTTTAAAGTTTCGAAGTAATTCCCAAATTCAAAGCGGGCTTAAGGTCTCATGTGCCTAAATCACTTGAGGAATAGATGGCCTTCAAAATGTCTTTAGTGTGCTACCTCATTAGAAAAGCTCTAGTGCTCTCAAAAAAAGATTTTAGTGTATAACAGAATGGTTCTCTTTGAGTTCTGGGACTTCTTCCAAAATATCATAATCAATGCACTTAAGGGTGTATTCCTTTGTAGTTTGTAAAGGAATCTTAATGCATTGAGAAGGTTTGAAAATACCAAGAAGAAAGGATCCAAACATGTAAATTCAGTGAACATTTTTGGGCATCTTAATTCCCCCACCTACACTATCAGAAATGCCTGAAATGTGATTGTTGTATTATT